GTGAGTGGGTTCCTAACACTTGCTCACTAAATCCTTTGTATCCTCTTTTTCATTAATGAAATTTTTATTTTGGTTATATATATATATATATATATATATATATTTGTGAGCATATTTTAAAGAACTTAATATTAAAATTAAAAAAAGTAAAATTATCAATATCAATATCATATCCTGATAAAAAAGACTGAGGCAATTTTAAAAATTATTAATTTGTGACCCCATTAAATAGATTTTATGGTTCCATCCCATGTTGTACTATGTATCACAAGTTTTGTAAGATTAAACCATAAGTAACTCATGCATTAATGATCACCACAAATCAAATTAAGGAAACCCCTTGGAAGAAAGCAATTATGCAAGGTTTTGGAAATGACCTCATAGCAATATCATTTTGATTTACAATGAAAGGGATGTGTCGGTCAACTTTTTGGTTTTGAAAATAATCCCGTAATTTAGTAGTGTATATAATTTTGGTTCCGAAAATAGTGTGTTCTAATTTTGAAAAATAAGATCAAACGGATCTCATTCGTCTAATAGTTTATATAATTGTGTCTGATACCACGAATACTACACCTTCCTGAAAAAAAAAGTATACATCGGATCGTACAAACTAAGAGATTTGTGACATTCATTTAGTCTGCGAACCTTTTATGTGCGACCGACAATTTCTCCTAACTAAGATAAGGATTAGGTAGGGTTTATTTTACCTGAGTTTTAAATTTTCTATAAAGACAAGCTCTTATAGTTAATTACATCACAAATGACTAAGATCACTTGAGAAAACTATCGATAATGATCAGAGATCCTAACCATCAAGAATTCAAGGTTTATGTTTACAAGATAGGACGCGAAAAATCAAATGGGAGCAATTATTTCAGGAGTCCAAAAGAATGAAGAGGTATGGGACGTCACGATCCTGAGGAGAACCCTCAGTGACTTCCCAAACTATCCGACTATATGGCTGCGTTTTGGAGACGATGTTATTTAAATGTTCAATCCAGTCAATTTTAATATTAGGACTTACATTTGCATGATCTGTATGATGTAAATAACCTAGAAGGATAGGAGAGTTTACAACATACCAAACGACAACCTCAGAACCTAAGGCGAATTAAGACTTATGATGCACAACACAGTTGCACAGAAGCCTAAAGGAGAGAGATAGTTGAAAAAATATCCTTTTGCTGCTCGATTCAAGCTCCTCGTCGTGCTGCCCACGAAGTTGGCTCCAAGCCTCCTGCTGTAGTAGTAGCTCCAGGTTTTAAGGATTTGAGGTTTGTGGTTTATATGTCACATTTTGGTTTGTTCGTCATTGTTCAAATGTTGAAATGTTCATGGGAGAATTTTAATTTAATTTGAGCGACACCGATTAAGAACTCACGGTTTCATCATTCCAGCATCACTTTTTTTTTGAATTTGCTTCAGCTAAATAAGTTATTAAGCCCATTTAGATAGGAGAATTCTCGTTAGCAATCGTAGGTTAACACATCCAAGAGATTCTCGTAAATCCAAAAAGAGTGAATTAAGGGGGTTCACTAGGTTTAAAAGTGTATATTAATTTTTAAAAGTATTTTTTTATTTACAAATAATGTAAAACATGCAAAATAAAGTAAAGTGACAGTAAAGCAGTAAGATTGCAGTAAATAAACTGTAAATGAGTACCTGGCGTGTCTGTTGCTGCTACAAAGGTGTCAGTATCACAGGTAAAAGTAAGCAAGTATAGCAAAAGATTTATTTAGCATGGTGAACATTTGTGTAAGTAAAAGAACAAGTGACATATATGAAAAATCGAGCCGGGCCGTAAGAATTCAGACTCGGAGTAGGTTCAGAGCTGGGTTGTGTGCTTTACAATCCAACTTTGGATAGATGCTACCAACCCAAAATATCGAATGAAGACAGCTCCCGAACACAATCGAAACAATTAACAAGTGGACCCTTATAGAATTTTATCAAAGCTTTTTTAATTTTCATGCATACAGAATTTACATAAAAGTCAAAAGTAATGTTGTTGCAAAGTGAAATTGTTCGTAGTATCTGTGTAAGTGTTTGGAGAAATGTAGTTTCTGTGTAAATGCAATATCTGTGCAAGTGTTTGAATAAGTAAAATGGTCCACAAGTTGCTCACTTTGGTCGAGCTAGAACTGTTGACAACCTAAGAAAGCAAGGGGGCAACTTCGCACCAAGAGCTGGTGAACAGTATCATCGATCCTGCTCTCCGCTCATTGAAAGTCATCGAGGCAGGAGATACTATTTTATCTTCCTTCTTTAGCCTACATAATCATTATCATTATCATCATCGCCCTTAAACCCCAAATCGTCCAACTTATAGCCCGCTCGATGGCACCTACAACGCTACACTACGCACACTTATACTTAATTATAAGCACGCAAATCAATCCATCGAGTAAGAAATAGAAACCAAAATAAAACAAAGGGAAAGGAAAAGAGACTGACTCAATTCCAAAAATCAAAGCAAAATGAGGCGAAACCCAAAACAGTGTTAAAAGAATACCCAATACAATGCCCTAGCTGCTCCGAAATCAGTCCACAAAACACTCCAAATTGGCACCTAAAAATGGCTCCAAGAACAGTGCATCAATTAGCCCAAATCGGCACCCAAAATGGCTCCAAAATAGTGCATAAACCAGCCCAAATTGACACCTGAAATGGTTCCCAAAACAGTGCATAAAGTAGCCCAAATCAGCACCCGAAATGGCTCAAAAAACAGTGCGTAAACCAGCCTAAACCGGCACCTAAAATGGCTCCAATACAGTGCATAAACCAGCCCAAATCGACACCCAAAATGGCTCCAAAACATTGCATAAACCAGCCCAAATCGGCACCCAAAATGGCTCCAAAAACAGTGCGTAAACCAGCTCAAATCGACACCTAAAATGGCTCCAAAACAGTGCATAAACCAGCCCAAATCTGCACCCGAAATGACTCCAAAAACAATGCATAAACAAGCTCAAATTGGCACCTAAAATGGCTCCAAAAACATTACATAAACCAGCTCCAATCGACACCTAAAATGGCTCCAAAAATAGTGCATAAACCAGCCCAAATCGGCACCCGAAATGGCTCCAAAAAACAGTGTGTAAACCCCAAGTATGTGAAGATACCCTTCTCACTAAACAATGGAGCTACCTCTTGTGTAAAACGAAAGGTTGGGGTGGTGTTTAGGTAGCTGAAAATGTGAATACATAAGAGTTATAAGACATGCATGTAAATTTCCCAAAATCTCAACACTTTGAAGTTCAAAATCTCAATGTGGAATTGTTAAGCACATAGTAACTATGTAAGGTGTAGGTATGCATCTATTTAAGTATATTCCAATCAATCCTTTGCATCATACCAAAAAGAGAATGATAATGATATGTAAGGATTTCTATGTTTCCAAACTTTCATGGCTCAAAAACCACAAAAAGTTTCAAACTTTTCCACAATTACAAGCTTCCAAGTCCTTAAAAAAGCAAAAGAGGTGGCATATATCTAGTAAAAAAATGAAACTCGAAGGAGTAAAGGAGTGGCTTGAATTTTCTAAGCGGTCTGGGTCCCAAGACTAGTCCTCTAAGAGTGTCAACAATGAATACTTAAGGCTAGACCCTAGGCTCTAAGGAGAGAAGTAAATCCCTCACTTGAAAATGAGGTCAACAGGATCATGACATGGAGACTTGTACAAATAAAACCAAAGGTCAAGGGACAGTTAAGGAGGGCTCGACCATCTTCAGCCAATCAAGATGCCAAATCACCCACTTCTCTTATCCAGCCACACCTATAAACATGAACTACCCCTATCTTTGTGAAATTTAAAATTTCAACAGTAGATCTATAGGAAATGGTGTTAAAAAAGGTGTAATTGATTTATTAGATTTATAGTGCTAAACTGACTCAAATTAAATAAGTGACATTGTTCTTGTTATTGGTTTGGTAGTTGAGTTCTTCACTCTTTGGTTAGTGCTTAACTTGTGTTGTTTAAATTTCATTTGTTAGTCTACATTCTCTCCATCTACACAGCACTCACTAACAGTCTTAACTCATTCCAGTCCCACTCCCATGAAAAAAAAAAAAGAAAATCTAGTGCACACTCAATCAGTTAAACTAGGTCAAGCCTAACGTATTTTTGGTTTTGCCAACATTACACCACTCACCAGTTGATAATTTCTATTAAATTCTAGATCATATCTAGGAAAATTCCTAAAGGCCTTCTAAGTGTTTTTGCAAACACTGGACTGTCCATTTGCAAACCTTAATTCACTTTTATGCTAGGCCAAGAGTAGAATCATCTTGTACCCTATTGTATCTATTGCTCACATCCCACCACTTACACTCCCACAATTTCCAAGCCGTAAAGAATCCTTTTTCTCCAGAAAACTCAAACCATTAGAAAAATTAAATCCAAGACTTCATGAATATGTTGCAAAAAATTAGATGCATTGTACGTATCATATACTAGACTGATTTTGAGTTGAATTGAACTAAGAGCCGTCCTCAAGTCAACGAAAATCAATTTTGTCTGAAATTGATCAAAATTCTACCCATCGAGTTTCAAATTCAGAAACAATCATTAGTTCAAGGTATTTGATTCATACACAGGATATCAATAAATAAACAATCTTGAATAAAAATACAAAAAATAATTTGGTCCCTGGTTACAAAAACTAGATAGATAACCCTTTGATGATGGTGGGTGTTTGTAGTCCTTTCTTTGGGTGATACACGATAAAGCTCTATGATTCTCTTGAAAGAAAAGTGCCAAGCATGTCATATGCAGCAAGACAAATACTTATGTTTAATATATCAAAAAGATCAGTTCATCTAATAGGTTCGATGGTGTGGGGAGAGAATGCATATAGGCAAGGGTGGAAATAGGCGAGCTATAAGTGATGTATAGTTGTAAAAGTTAAATGTATTTTGTTTAAGCTACGAAATAGATTTGCAAGTATTGTAGATAAAGATGGAAACAGGTTTCAAAGCAAATAAGGTAGAAATCTTACACTCCAAGAAGAAAAGGCCAAACTTCAGACCTAATGCTTGGGTCCACTCCCTAAAAAATAAACAATAAAAAATTAGGACATTTCTTTAAAGTGGCATAGAGCACATTTGTTAACATAATTTCAAAGCAATAAGCACCTACCCCACTCCTAACTTTTTTTAGAAGTTTAGCCCCTCCATCACAAAGTTTTCCTTCTGGGGTAAAAAACTTTTTCCATTGTTGTGGAGTAAGTACATGCTTTCTTTTCCTTCTAGACCAAGGTGATTTAAGGCTGCCGCTGGTAATCAAAAAATATATTATGAAGAAATATCAAAGCAAGCTAAAACATGTCCAACTGAGAAAGAAATAGAAATCTTCTAGGGTCACATTGATTAAATCATTCCTTGATTATCATTTTTGCTCACAATTGCCTTCCAATTAAAGCAACCAAAACTGCTACTACAACTATTCTCAAAAGTGAAACAGCTATATTTGAACAAAGATTGTGAAAATAAGAGAAATAACAAATTTGGCAAGATTATGATGGAGAAAGAGATGGAAAAAGAAAACAAAGAAGAACAGAAGCAATAACACAAAGCAGGAAGGGCAGAAAACTTAATCTCAACTATTAGCAGTTAGCACTTAGTGCCCTTCACCTCCCATTTCCACAGTGACCTCCCATTTCCACAGTGGAGGCCGAGGCTACTAACTGGACCACAAAATACAAAACCTTTTGCAAAACTGTTGAGTTGACCATAAGATAACCTTGAGAATGGAGCAAGAAATAGGAAGTGAGGATCAAAGAACGAGAAGAAATGTGAGATTTTGCTGTACGGTGAAATTATTAGCTTGTTCCCTTAGCTAACTTAGCCAGCAAAATAAGAACACTGGGAGCTAATGTAGACGGGCTAGAGGAAGGGTTCTTTAATATTCACATTACCCGCGGGATGAAATGACGATAGTGACAGCCAGGCCAACTTCTACCATGGTCCTCAATCCTACCGCCATGTCTAAATGCCATCAATCAGTGTTATTAAACCCTTTCCTTAATTAACCTCTGCCTCATAACTTGCCATGAAAGCAAACAAAATTATTCCTGCCACTCTTTTGAAGTGAGACGGATAAAACTGAGACAAGATAACGAAACTACGAGAATTCGTAATTTTCAAAAAATTAGGTTCAAGACAAAAATTGAAGCATTAAAAAAATAGGAAAATTGAAGCAGGAGCGAAAACTCACCGGTTGCGAACTCGAGAGGAATCGAAAATGAGAAGCGACTGCGAATCGGACAAGCAGGATGACGACGGCGAGGACGAAGAAAAAGAATATGAAGATGAAGAAAAAGATGAAGAATAAGAAGATTGGGAATTGGACAAAGTCTGAAATTTTCCAAGAGCCTTATCTGTCATCCCTCCACTGCTTTCCCTCCACACTCGAGCGGAATCAAAACGCTGAGAACAAAGACTCGAAGCGAGATGATGGATAGGTGATGACGGTTTATCTGATTCTCACTTACCTATGAGATGACAGGACGATGGTGGCCGCTAGGGCAAGTCCCAGCATGGCCGTCACACCTATCGCCGCGCCGACATGCCGCCGATTGTCGCTGCCGATTCCTCCTATCTGCCAGAACCAGACGCCCCTTCCAACGCCGGCGAATCCCTCTCCAATAGATGCACCAGCACTGCTGAATACTCTCTCCCCCCACCCCCACACCATCGATCGACCTACACGTCCACCGCTCACGAAGCCCCACTTCCAGCACCCGCTGCCGTCAAGGAATCTCTCTCTCTCCCTCTTCCCCTCAATGAAAGAGCATCTGCAGAGAGGGCGTTTGTCAACAATTCATTTAGATAGGATCCAGTGACAAATGGGTGGTAGAGTATTGGTTAGGTGTTAGATTTAAATAAATAGTTGATTTAGAGCAGCAGTCAATCAAAATAAGATGGCTATCTATTTAATTTTTGAGTTTGGAAATAAATGATTTCCAACTATTTCTGAATAAATTATTATTTTATTAAAGTTCAATAATATTGTTTACAATAGACATGATAAATCTACTAATATTTATTATTAATTGTTAAGTGCATGCAATATTTAGTGTAATAATATAACTTTAAACTTAATATTAACAATACATAAATAAATATATATATATATATATATATAATTATTTAATAATTTAATAGCTTAGGGAAGTTATAAATACAAATATAGAGTAACTATTATGTATTATTTATACATTTAATACTAAATAGTTATTTAATATTAGTATTATTAATAATGTTAACAGTATTTATTAAATTTTATTGTATAGTAAATATGTGTTCAATTAATTGTAAATATTAAATTATTAAAATTATATATGTATTATTATAAATTAAGTGTATTTTATATTATAAATATGTCTTAAATTTAATTTATTTTAAGATATAATTTAACTATATTTATCATATTATTTCGTTAACATTACTATAAAAAATTTTAGTTAAATGTATTTATTATACTAAAGTAATGTATACACGTGTTATATACTTTAGTTTATGCTTATTAAATTTCAAATAAATATATAATAGTTTTAAGTATATAACTATAACTATTAGTGTACTATGTTGAAATATTGTATTTATAAATTATATTTAACTGTGTATAATTTTAATTTTATTTAAGTTAACTCAATAAATACAAAAAATGCTAATTATACATATAGTTTATAAATAATATATAACTATTTAATTTAAAATATAGTAAAATAATATTTATAAAACTATTTATAAATTAATATATAACTATTTAATTTAATATATATAGTAATATAAATAATTATGTATAAAGTAAATTAATTTAATTTAAGTGTTATAATTTTAACTTTATGTTTAGCATTTATATATTTTCAATTTAGAATAATATATGTATAATTTTAAATTTAATTGTTATTATATATGAATTAACACAATATTAAAAAAATTTAGTTATATATTAATGTATTAGAATAGATCATTATATTCTAAATAATATATATTTTAAGTATGTTTATAAGTTAATATTTAACATTTGCTAATTCAAAATTAATGATTTTTATAAATCACACGAATAACATCGCAATAACACCTGAATACTGCCGCAAATAACACCGCAAAACATCGTGAATCAACGGTTGGCAAAAGGCGCGAATAATCCTACAAATAACACCGCAATGACACATGAATGCTACCGCAAATGACACCGTAAAACACAACAAATCGACGGCTGGCAAAAGACTCGAATAATATTGGGAATAACACCTAAAAACTATAGCGAATAATATCGGGAATCAACGAACGTGCGACCACGCAAATAATGCAGCGAATAACACCTTGAATGATACCAGACGCGCAATTGTCGGGAGGGCAAAGCCATAAACAATTTTCTCTGAACGCGGGACGTGGGGTTGAAACCTCGGGTGGCTTTCACTACAAAAGGAAAACAGTTTATCCTGCAATGTAACGAAGACGGAGAAAACAAACACTATTCCGCAGCTGTTTCGCGGTACCAAACGAGCCCTAAATCTCATATTATTGAGTTTATTAAATTAAAATATTATTGATTTCGAAATAATATCTATTTCAATTAATAATAAATTCAATTAAATTTCCTTGATATGTTCGACATAAATCTATTTAAAATATTTTTTTCATACAGTAAATCTATTAAATCCAACTCAATAAATTTGGATTTAATAAACAACTTAATAAACTAAAGAAACAAAGATTAGATTCAAGTGCGGATTTAACTAATCTATTTATTGTATTTGGTTGGATTTAGGTTAAATCTAACTTAAATCCTCTTAAAAGTATCCTACAAGCATCAGTTGTAAGAGCCTAGCAAGCATGCTTGTGTACCCGCTCGAGCTAACGATCTCTAGATTCGCAGTTATCGATCCACAGACTCTAAGTTCCATTGCAATCAAATTATTATTATTTATATATTGCATATTTCTAAGTTCATGTCCTTCTCTCTGAGGAACAATGCACTTGACGAACAATTTGAACTCAATTAGATTAATATTCAATTATATTTATTGAAATTACTCTATAAATAAATTTAAATCATTTTCTAAACTTAAAGGCTAAATAAATTTCAGTTTGAAAATAGTCCAACTCGTTTATTAATATCCACGAGCAAATTTATACGTTTTTTACCAAATAAATTGTATAATAATGTATGCTTATATTAATTAATTAGAATTTATTTAATTATATACTTAATGTTAAAATATTGTACCTCATATCATTATATATATAAATTTAATGTAACTATTTCTTTTTTATTACAATAAACTAATTTCTCAGTATTGTAAGAAAAAAATTATTTTTCTTATATTATATTATTTACTCTATATAAAAAGTAAGATGTTTATTAGAAATTTCTTAAATTGTTTATTTATTTACATTTTAAAAATCATTTGTTAAAATTTAAAATAAATACTCTAATATTTATTGAAATTTTCAGCTTATTTATTAGTTTTATATAAGTATTAAAGCACAAAATATTTTTTTAATTTCATATGAAAATTTAATATTATTCGAATTTTTACTTTATTTAATTAAAATAAATAAAATAAGTACAATAAAACATGATCATTAAAAAAGTGTCGTCCATCTACAGTAAGGGGTGCTTTGGATATTGTCAGACATCTAGCATCATAGGAGACAATGAATTCATTGAAAGAAATGCATGTCTTCCACTTCTTTGATATGCCTCCATATCCGAAGAACAATGTGTTGGTATTACATATTTTGAGATGTTGGGATAATGAAATGAGGGTGTTCAGAATGGGTGGGAAAGAAGTAAAATTGCATCCTGACCACTTAACGTTGATATTAAGTATGTCTAACATAGGGGAGACAATTGTTTGAAGGAAAATTCACTCGTCTGGTGTGGATGTCAGACAAATAAATGACCAACTGATGAAGTTCTCTGAAGGAGGTTCTTCCATTCTCTTTGAGCAGTTATACTTAAAGTTTCTACTGACGAATTTATTTTTTCCCTCGAACAATTTTAGCGTGCCCGTGGGACTTCTTTTATTTCATAAAAATGTACAGTTATTTTCTTCTTAGAATTGACTCGCTGTCATTTGTGACTTCATCATCAATCAAGTGAGCATCTTCGCTGCTAAGTTAAGACGAAATCAGTCACTGGGATACATACAGGGTTTTGTTTTTATTTTAACCGTAAGTATTATGTTTTATACAAAAAATAATATGCATTCAGATGTTATTTATAGTTTTGCTTATTTTGACATTCCTCTTTCTGATATGAGATATCCCCGGCTACAGTTTTATGAGCAAACCTCTATGTTTGCTCCTCATGTTCCTGAGACTAGGCCTCGCATCCTAAGGTTGACAACAAATCATGGATGAATAGTAGTAAAGATTCATGAGGCCTTCAAAAAGCTTGGTCGTGCAAAGGTTAAACATTTACTTCATGACAAATTTTAATACTTAGTCATTTATTTCATTACTATTTTGAATTCATTATAAGCATTTTTAATGGTGCTACATGCTAATGATTCTTTCATCAATTTAAAAGAGGATGAGCAACACTTACTGTCCACCCCGGAAGAGGGACTACTGAGCCCTGTCAGGGTTGTCCCACATCAAGAAACAACTATCAGACCATCTTCACCATTATCCTAAAGAGTGAGACCAATTTTTTCCAGCGAGATCACCTCGGAAGAGACATACAACAACTAATAAAGACTTTGGAATAATAATTGACCTATTAAAAGGTCAAGAAAAGTCTACTCTTATATTACAGGAAACCATGAATACAATGAGTCAACAAATGTCTTATGTTGGGGAGTCATTGCACAACTTAACTGTTATGGTTGAAAGCTTGCAAAGAACCAAAACAGATAAGGAAGTTGATGCACAGACAACGGGAACACACAGATCCTTTGCTCGAAGTGTTAAGTCCACCCAGAGAATGAGGAGGATCGTGAGTTCACCTGAGTTCACATATCAACTAAATAGAAGAAAAAAATAGTTGATTTTGTTGAGCTACATCATTTGGTAGATGTCCTAGACATTGGTACACAAAGTATAGTTGATAAAGATTATAGAGTATATCAAGGCAATATAATTGTACATACTACAGTTTGAGATGATCCAATAAGAGCTTCCATAATGAATAATAGATGCCGAAGATAATATATTAACAGGCGATGCGACACTTCAGGAATATCCTGAAGAGGTTGAACGATCAGTGAACGGTGTTCTAGAGTCGCTAGCCCCATATAGTAAACAACTATTTTTATTCACATCTCTATCTTCTAATATGCCATTAGTTTTTATGGTATATAAAAATTATATTTGTTTTGCAGGCTCTTCGCAGGGTCGTCCCATCTAGATCTCTCTAGCACTTCAGCTGTAAGAGAAGATGTACATAGTCCAGTTGGAGAGCCAGCAGTAGGAAAAGATGTACATAGTCCAGTTGGAGAGCCAACAGTATGAGAAGCTGAACATAGCTCTACTGGAATGATAAGAGATTCACTAATAATTATTGCTGATAAAGAAAATCTCAATTAAGAGGAGACATATGTGCCAAGCCAGAGCTCCAATCCATATGCCTACGTTAAATTGGTACTAATAATTATTTATAGTTGCACTTAATCATATCTTGAAAAATACATTGATATGTTACGAGCCTTCAATTCTGATGTAGCCTCATGTTGAGGCTCCAACACTTCCACTTGATTATCCTGCTAGATCAGTGCTTTCACTTGAAATGTATGATGTAATAGATAGATGTATTGTCAGATACCCTGGGGTGTAACTAAACATTCTTTGTTAAATTGTAACAAAATTTTTCTAATTCG